AACATGTAATGTCCTATGCATAAAAGGCCAAAACCAAGATTCTCCGTCTCCAGCTAAGTCGGGATTCTCCAGCCGGGATTCTTCGGCCAAGTCGGGATTATCCTGTAAGTCGATAATCATTCTTCGCGTGGCGAGATTAAAGAGAAGTAGGGAATGAAGGAAGCCTCGCGGGGTTTCCCTGATTCGAAGACTGTACAGTGAGGAGTGTGTTGTGCCCAAACCAATCTTGGTGGTACGGCTGGTGTGGAAGTTCCGTACGTATTTTAAAATGTGTTGACGACATCCGATATCCTGGAAGCCTTGCTGAACTACTTCATGAGAGACCCTGCCAAATGCCGTATTGATATTTAGCGCAAGTAGAATGCAGTCCAGACTACCCAGAGGAAGATTGAGGACGTCCTCTCGAAGCATCAATAATACATCTTGGGTAGATATGCCTTTCCGAAAGCCAACCATATAGTTTCACAGGAGAACGTATTGCTCGTTGTGGTATTCTAAGCAAGTGATGATGACTCCCTCAAAGAGCTTTCCGAAACAGGACGTTATATGGGATATCGGCTTTTGAGTCTTCAAGTTCTAGAGCTACCTTTTGTTCATTCGATTGGTGGCCGCCAGGGCGTTTGTATCTGCTGCGCCAACTTTTGTCAACGTTAGCTACCTTCACCATACGTTTGAGGCGCCTAACAGTAATAGCAAAAAGCTTAAATTGCTAATTCACGTACGTGGTTAACCTGTCTAGTTTAAAGGTGGTTGCTCCAGTGACTGTCATGAGCTCGCTGTTTCCAAAGTGTTCGATGTCTCCTCATGCGTTTGTTGCGTTAGCGTTGCCATTTTCTGGTTTAGTAGGCAAGTTCTCTTTTAATAATGTCTGCGTTTTGCGAAGCTGTTTGTTTTCAGCAGCGACTTTTAGGTATTCTGCATTCTGTGATATTGGTGCGATATGATTGGTCATGCCAGACGTGACCCCTGCCCCGCTCATCTGCGACATTGCTGTGCTAGAAGTCTCCGGACCATGGTTGTTGGCAGGTGTCTCTGCTTTGTTGTCCGGATGCTGTAGTCGGGCTGGCGTCGGCGCGGGCGTCGATGACCTTCTCGCATTGAGTGGAGGAAAACGCTGCGCTGATTTGGAGTAGGACGTGGACCGGGATCTGCTACAAGACGTGGCGCGTCGCTCCGCACTGGCGGCTCTCCTGTGGGCTTAATTCTCATCCTCGGAGGAAAACTAACGTGGCTTTTGGGACAATCTGGGTGTACATAGTTCTTTAACCTTATTTAGGTGCTTGGTACAGCTGCGCTCCCCAGTCGATTGTGGTCCCCCTCATGATGCACAGTTAAGTTCACAAGGGTACTCGAGGATCAGGTTTTCTAGTGCACACATCCAACATTTGTCGGTTAGGACGAGGGCAGACGTTTGTGTGGTGTCCTCGTACCCTGCACAGCTTGCAAACTTAGACGGTGGCAAGGAAGGCATGACAAACAAGTTCTCCCCCATAGCTATAGACTACCTTGGGTAGAATGAGCGCACTGAAGGTAAAGGTTGTACTCTTAGTGTCTCAAATCATACGTGCCTGTATGATTTCGACACCATGCGTGCGTTCCCGCATGTTAGCTAGGAGGGTTTTGTGTGGTGTTTGTAGAGATATACCATGTGCTACTGCTCTTAATGCCTCTTATTCAGTGGCTGCGTACACATTTACGGTGTGTGTATGGTCATTGATTGTCAGTGCTGAATGCTCCTCGCTTTTGCAGCCACCTTTGGTGCAAGGTGGAGAGGGTGGCTATGTTGAAACTAGGTTTTATGGGCAGCAGGAATTGCTCCCCTCTAATCAGGTGGCCGCAAGCTGTTATGATCGCAGCTGCCCAGACAGGCGGTTTTATGTTTCTCAGAGAAGCACCTCCTCTATTTAATGCTCGGAGGCAATTCTTAATATGGTCTTATGATTACAATAAAGTCGTACTTCGCTACTGGTAGAAGCTTGTAATATTTCTTCTTCTTCAATAGACTATGCAAGCTGGTCTTCGAAATCTGTCGGACAGCAGCGTTCGCGCTTGCCTTTCAAACTTTGTTGTTTTCGTTGTTGCAGTGTGAGAATGGTCTTCCAGTCTGCGTCTTTATCAGTGGCAGTGGCTGGTGTATTTGAAGCGCTTGCCTTGACAGGCTTGTCATGGACGTCTCTTGAGTTACCAGGCCTGCTTACGTTTATTGGGGCGTCACTGGGTGCGTGATGGCTTGTTAGCATGGAAGCGTAGGTGTGAAACATCTCTCCCGTTGCAAGAGTAAAGTCCACGCGCGGAATCGTAGTCTACGCTACCGACACAGCTGCTGCTAGAGACACCGAACTGGCGTCAGAGCTAAGAGTCTGCGAATACGCGTTGACTTGCTCAGATGCGTATATCCTTTTTGAAACAATCCAAGTTTATGAAAACTGTCTCCTCGGACACGTTGCGTCTTGACAAACCAAACGATGTGACTTTCAGACGGATGGTTATCACTGTCAGGTAAATAATAAATCGAGGAATGCTCATGCGGAACTGTCACTTTTTATACTGTCAATGGAGTAAGAACAAGCGTGCTTAAACATTGTTATTCATGTAGCTTTCCTGAATAAACTTATGGAGTGCCCTACATTCGTCTCAAGCAAAACAGAAAAAAAATGCGGAAACGTGTTCGCGGGTATTTTAGCTCAGCGCTCGCAATTATAACATATCTTTCTTTATTTATCGAAGATAAGCATGCATGGAAAGTGAATGCAATCACGTTACAGCAGTGCATAGTAGATGGTGCTCAAGATGACAACCTAAAATAAAAATACAAAAAACTTGACATAGTGCGAAAGCACAGACAGTCGACAAGCGCGAGTATTCCTTTCAATAGAAGATTGCATTCCTCTCACATTATAAGTGACGTTCGGCGAGCTTCATGAATTAGGCAACGCTCAGTAAATATATCATGAGTATGAAGCAGTCAACGCATTTTATTCGCCGACAGTCGGCTCCCTTCACCCAAAAAAAAGGAAGAAGCGTCATTGCGTACGTTCGTATGAAAACCGCCGGCCACCTATCTACAAAACTGTGGTGATGATGCTGCCCCTGTAGCCCGAGCTTGGTTTCTTCTGTAGATAAGTGTAGCTTAAAATGAATACAGCTATATAATACCTGCCTTATATAATGTAGGTCAAGCGGTTGGGAGGTTATTACCAGTAATGAAGCAGTATACGTACACGTGGAAAATTTCTTGTGTAGTGAGTGTTGTTGTGAGTATTGAAAGAGCTGTTTGCTGCGAGTAGACATTCATGTATTCTGAGAAAAAAAAAAGAACAGCACAAAAAAACCTTTGATGGGCTTTGAACGAACTATTCACTTTATTGCAAAAAATGAACAAAGAACTATTAAATTAACAGACTCCAAAAGTGCAGCAGAGAGAAGAAGAGAATGCGACGGCCGCACGCTGCCGACTCGTGCTCTTGGTGCGACAGACTCTATCAAACTCGTGATGTTCCAGTGCTTGAATATGAGGTACCGACAATTAAGCTAATGCTGTGGCATTTATATGATCATGTGAGTGTGTGACAAACCTGCAGGCGTTTCACGTTTCATGCTCCTAAGTGTTTTTCCAGATGCTTATATCGGCATTATGCAAAATAACGGGGCCGTTGTTGGAAATAAAAAATGGCAGATCTCACGTACAGTAGGACTCGATGATATACCCAGCACGATTGAGAAATGTTGATATGTCCCTTTAAAATCAGCACACCGTAGCGAAGTGGAGGTAAATGATGCCGTAAATGACTTCCGTGTCAAGATTATCGTGTTTGGATGTGTCGTTTACTTTCGTCATCTATTCACATCCCGTGATACCAAATTTAGTATGAATGGAGCTAGCAAAATGGCCGCAAGCACGCTATGAGCGTGGTATGTTGTCATGTTCTTGCATGACACGCGTGTCAGGATTATCAAGTTTGCACCAGCCGCAGACCTTCGTCATCCTTTGGCGTAACGTTATTCCAAAATTGGCATATGTGAAACTAGTGAAATGGTCGTGAGCGCATCAACAGTGTGGCATGTAGTCATGTTGTTACATGACACACATGTCGTGATTATCATGTTTGGATGTCATTTACCAATGTCGTCCGTTCGCATCACGTAATACTGAGTTTGGTACATGTGAAGCTAGTGAAACGGCGCAAGCGCATCATGAGCATAGCATGTAGTCATGTTGTTACATGACACGCCTCTCGTGTTTTTCATGTTTGCACTAGTATCATACTTTCCTCATCTATTCACATCCCGTAATACCAAATCTAGTTTATGTGACGCTAGCGAAACGGCCGCCAGCGCATCATGAGCATGGCATGTAGTTACGTTGTTAAATGGAACGCATGTCATGATTTCCATGTTACGGTCTGTCGCTTGTGTTCGCCATGTAATCATAGCATACAATACCAGTTTTGCAACATGCCATGTGAACGAAACCACCGCAAGGGCAGCAGGACTATGACATATAAATCATTATATTGATGACATATATATCATGATTTTAATGGTATGACTAGTCAATTATGTTTTTCATAGAGTAATGTTATGTCATACCAAGTTTTTACCGATACCGTTATCGAAACGGTCAGGAGAGCCAAAAGTTGTAGGCGGTTAGAAAGATAGACAGATAGGGAGATATATAGACTGATAAATTGCTTGATTGATTGATTGATTGATTGATTGATACGTGGGGTTTAACGTCCCAAAGCCACCATATGAATATGAGAGACGCCGTAGTGGAGGGCTCCGGAAATTTGGACCAGCTGGGGTCCTTTAACGTGCGTCCAAATCTGAGCACACGGGCCTACAACATTTGGGTCTCCATTGGAAATGCCGCCGCTGCCACCGCACTTTGATCCCGCGACCTGCGGGTCAGCAGCCGAGTACCGTGGCCACTAGATCACCACGGCGGGGCATGCATAGATAGTATGATAGATAGATAGATAGATAGATAGATAGATAGATAGATATGCTAAATGTCACTGAAGTTCGCCAAGAAATGCTTCAGATTAAAAAAAAAATCTTACAGGAAAGCACATTGTATTGGCTAACAGAAGCTATGTGGGACTGGCTTCCAGATGCGTTCCTAATTGGTCAATTTGCCCTTGTGACCAGCCAGTATCTTCAAAAGACGCATACGGCTGTACGGCCCACGGCCGCAGGTGTTGTCGAAGTCCTCGTGCTGTATGTTGTCCGCAGCAAGGTTGTACTTTAGGTCTTGGTCGATACCTTCTGTCTCGTAAAGCTGCAAAAAAAAACGCGCATGAGAGGATTCAGTTTAGTATATAATGCTAGGACGAGCCAAAACTATTGAGGACAAAGAGAAAACCTAATACGTGCTCAAGAGAATCAATGGATCAGCTTCAATTAATCAGCTTCTGTTTCTACATAAGAAATATGAGAGTAGCGTCAAAAAAAGCCGCACTACTGCGGCTTGACAAAGCTCCGGCCCCCTCTAAAGTCCAGCAGCAAGAGAGTCAAGTAGAAGAAAAAAAATTGGGAAATTAACAATTTCATTCAGTGCACTAATATAGGTAGTGGCAACATATAGTAAAAACTTGATTAAACATCAAATTATTTGATTCTTTGTGGCACAATATACGTAATGAGGGATGATAATGTGATTAATCTTGGCAGTTTGCAAGTAGGGCCGCTACTGGTAATTTTTCAGCAATTTATTAACGCACTTGTGACCTTTAGTAATTGCTACAGGTAAAGTGCCTACGTTCGCATTTTTCAGTGAGACGAGGCGTGACGTTATTCGTAATTTTCATTCCAATCATAGCGGTAGTTGCACAGAAAGCCAGTTCGCTTCGTATGCGCCACATTTGCAAAGCTTCAAGACGCAGCGAGACTCTGTTGTCAGCCTCCCTAGCACTCATAATTTGAGAACAATGTAATATGTCCATCGACATATTACATATTTACAGCCGGAGTGGACGTATTCTATTAAAAGTCAGGCAGGCTCTTCGACGACCACTTTTAAATGTGGCTGTTGCTTCAATTATAGAAGTCGTAGTGTAAAATGAAAGATCTGCATTTAACTGTGGGTATAGGTTTATGGTGTCTGAACTCCTGAGAAAGTGAGGTTGATCTTGAATGCTTGCGCATCAAAGCTCGCAGCTTCTGCGGAAACATCATACGTTAAATGGGGAATATGAGTGCTGTAAACATGCTTTCCTAGACTTTGAAGTTCGGAGATTTGATTATTGTGAGTCGAAAAACTCACAAACGCACGCAGGTAGGATTGTTTCCAGCGCATACCTTTCTGAAGAGATGGTTAATTTGAACAACTTTTGGATGGATGGAAGCCATGAGCATTCCTTTATAATGGGGTGGTGAAAGGTGGGCCACCAGGCTCGCAAGAAAAGAAAACGAGAGGAAATTTTTTTCTTTTATGTTGCCAAAAGGCCTTATCTACTTCGATTAAATCAAGCTTGTTATAAATAAATGTAAATTGGTGTTTCATCTCTCGGCCCCTTCAGGCAGCATGACCTCATTTTTCCATGATTTTTGTCCTTTATCTCTACATTTTTGCCACCAGTATTCTAATCATCTCTAACTTGCTTCTATCAGGACGTGTACAGCTTTCCATGTTTGTCCCTGAAACCCAAAGCCATCGTCTCCATCGTCATTATATTTAACAGCTCACTGTTCGTCCAGTCTTTGCCGGGTAGGTTTCCTACTTTGTGCTGAACTGTTGCAGCTTTATTTGCTATTTCTGTGTCTTTTAAATACGAGCTTCCGAACTCTGATCACGTGTTCTGATTTTCAGTTTTATATTTAATTTTTAATGTTGCGCATTCATGATCACTACCCAAGCTGGTAATGTCTTCCTCGTCTATTTCCATCTCTCCAAGTTCCTCATGGATCCCCAATGTTACAAGAGAACAATCAATGCTCGATTGCCTGTGTTGAACCTCCTATGTATTCTGGCCCTCACGCTTAGGTCCCGCATTGACTATATCAAGGCTCTGTTGCTCGCAGAGATCTAAGAATAACCGCTTCCCCCCTTGCCAATATGTCTGAATATCCGTGAAGGTCCTGTATATGAGCATTCATTTCATCTAAAAGGATTATTTTGGCCCCGTGACCATATTCTTGATTATCGGCGTCCATGTAATTCACGATCTCCAAATTCTTTGCAGTTATTCCCCATCCACAAGTAAGCTACACCTAGCCACGTTTTCTTTCTCCCTTTTCTGCCGGAAACCCAGAGGTGCTCTAAGTACGTTTGCTCATTCAGGTACTGCAGGACGCACCCTAGTTGGCAGCAGGCAACTCCCACGTTGAGACCGTCAGGCCAACTCTGTCGGCCGCTTCGTGGGCGTGCTCGACAGCCCAAAACTGGTCAACCAAGAGCGGGGTGCGAATGCCCACCTCCAACCTGACCAATGGGGAATCGGGGCTTGATTGAACACACACCCCTAGCATGTGTGCTAATGTGGACTTAAGCCCGCATTCAGTGCACACATCATCCAGATAGTTTCCAGGGTATAGTACAGGCAGCGTGTGAGCTTATGTTATGTCTCTGTATGTAGCAGTCAAACCGAGAGTGCTTGAGGGCAATTACGTTTCGGATATAGAGGGGTATTCTCTCCAGCCAAGATAGCATTCCTTTCTAATTTTAATGTACGTAGCGGGCGTGCCACTCCCGTTTGAAACTTCGTCCTCATTATGGCCGATGCTGATGCGTTCGGTTAGCGTGCGCGCTGGTGCGTGGACCACCTTGCTGAGGTTCACGGCGGCACCAGCTCTGTGTCCAACATGTGTAGAGAACCACATTAGCAAGCGGTATATCATTCTGTTACTTTGAAATTGCGCAAGGTTTGTTCAGAGAATACACCACACACCAATGTTTTAATTGCAGACCTTGACTCACTGTATATGGCAATGGTGATCGTGTGTGGTCAAGCTTTCCAGTTAGGTTGCACCTATGTCGCAGAGACCTTTACATCGGAAGAAATGTGGTTAAAGTCAATCACCCAATATTGACTGACCTCGGCAGGCGAGCTAAAGCGAAAGTTGGCCAGTGACTCTGGGTCAACATTGTACCGAATACTTTTGTACCTTTGTGTTAGCGTCCACAGAGTCATGCCGGTGCGTGAAAATGTTTTAAAAAAACGGTGAATCTATCTGCAACAGGAATCAGTATACCAAGAAAGTGAACAACGTCTTCACTGTAGTATAGTTGGCTATTCGCTGCAGTATAAAAACACTGAGCTGAGAGTGTCGGTACCAAGAAAGCAAAAGATCGACCAGCGCAAGCAATGTTGCAGCAACTATGGGTTGGGCAGCTCCTGCTCGTGCCTCGTGGATTGCTAGCTACGTGGCTACAGCACTTGGCATTCATCGTCGCTACAACCATCTCCATCGGTAAAGAAGGACTTAGGGTAAGTCGTAGACAACACAAAAAGTGTGAATCGCAGTAAAGCTTCAGATGTTGTACGTGCAATATTTCACAACCACATAATCTCTGATCAGTTAGCGGTGTAATTGGTTTGAAAATAAAGTTTACAGTTAACGTCTTCAAAAGACGGTAGTGTTTCTGATATTTCAAAGCAAGCTCGGAGAATTAACCAGTAGGCCCAGCTAGAACTCAAAGCCACACAAGGAATTCCGGAAGCAAGGATAAGGGTGGTCATCTTCAAATCGAGGTTTGGATTGATCTACGATTGGGAACGATTGGGTCAGTGGCCAACCCTACTTGGCGCGATGGCCAAATTAAAAAATGGGCCTAGCTGCGGAGGAATCATGTTAGTACGGGAGAATGGCCTCGAGTGTGGTCGAAGGTTCTCGCCCATATAACAGGAAAAATAAAGAAAGCCTGCCGTCGCCTTACGACTCGTGTTTTAGGCATACACCACAAAGGCCAAGTAAGAGTGATCTGAAGTAACATACATAGAACTCTTGCTGCCTAAGGTGTGGTTGAAGCTTTCCGTCAAGCCACTTGATTGGGGAGGATAGGCAGCATACTAGGGTGATGAAAGATAAGACAATCGTCAAGGACACCGATAACGACTTGGAAAAGCGACGCGGGTCTTCTATTGCACATAATTCAGGTGGTGCACCGCGATGGAGATCGAAGCTGCTAGTAGCAGTAAAGATACTGTATCACGGGCAGTGACAGCAATCAGACAGGCTGTTTCGGTGTATCACGTCAAATGGTCGATGGCGATGATTGCCTAGCGTTTTTCGCAATTCGTTAGTGGAAGGTGCCTCAAAGTGGAAGTAGATCGAGTCAATGACAATGGGGATGAAAGGCTTAGTCACGCCTCTATTTCTGTTGTTCTTGTGCTTAGTGTTGGTGAGCTGTTCACAAGTAGGCACCGTATTCGCTGGAGCATACCAGAGATATGACGAGGAGGAGCTTTCTGTCGTTGGCTCTGTTGACCCGAATAATGTACTTGCACACAAAGGTGTACATACTTCGGTCTTAAGAACTAGAGGAAAAACGTGTGTAAGTTTTTAAGACGCCTGCATCTGCACACTGTGGGTTATCGTGCAAGGCTGAACGTTTTTTTAGCATAAGGATGTTTAGGTCCCGGCAACAACCAGTTTTATCACCAGCAACCAAGGCGCCTTGTTCCTGAGATAGCCACGAGAAGCTGAAGGAAAATGTTACAGGTTGAAAAGAGATTGGAGGAGATTGCTGATCCACTCATTTTTGCGTAGCTTCGACGCAATGTCGCAGACAGTTGTGAATAAAAGTACTTCGTCAACGACATACATGGAGTCAATACAATGCTTTCGGTTCAAAAAGGTGAGCTTCGTAGGGCATAGGCATCGGTGTGGTGGTGTCTAGACTTCTAGAGAACGCACATCTCGAATTCTCAGAACTTCAAAGCCGAGCGAGCTAATAGAGCAAAGGGGTCCTTAAACTTTGGTGACTGATACAATGCGTGGTGCTCAGCGACTCCCTTGATAGGGTGGCCATTTATATAAGGTTGAACTTACAGAGAGCGAAAATTATAATCAATCATTTCTTCTCTGCCACAACATTAATCTGTTTTATTGAGGGTTTGACTGGTTAATTACCCTGCACTGCGCGAATACGGCCTCGAGGCCATTACCATTGGTGTAGGTTTGTTTTTCAGTTGGAGCCGTATGGCCGAAGTGACACCAGAATGCGGCGAGGTTAGCGGATGGCATAACTCTCCAAATGCGTCGTCACAAGCGGGTAACCAAGCACAACTTCTCGAAGGAATCCGCAGAAGGCGAATCAAGATGGCGGTGGTGATCACA